TCTGTTGCTGTCGGCTTCGCCATTAACATAGAAAACATAATAATGATGTTCAATGGTGGAGTCTTGTTGAAAAATAAGGAACAAAAGACGCACATGTTGACGTCGACGTAACGGCAGCAGAGAGCAGCGGAAATTTAACGAAACTCTTTTTCTTAATGCCCAGCTCTCAGAGAATTCTCATTGGATGTGAGAAAATCAAATAAACTCTTAACAAATATATTTTTGTGGGTAAGTTACTGCCAAGAGCAGCTCCAGTGACATACTTATTGGGTAAGGTAATAGTAATGATTGGAGTCGAGACTGAATGGCATAAACATATGCAATTTTTTCGACAAAAACCACAGAAAATGTGTGAGATTTTAATGAAGAGTTACCTCTTCATTCTAAAAATGCATGCCTATAAATCATAAAGAATTGTATTCCAAAGGCCATAGCATTTTGTCGATTTCTATAGATGTGAATACTGTATTGCAAAGCATAGTTCTTAATGTACACTGCGCAACATAAAAGCGATATCATATACTTCTCCATCAAATAGTGGACAGCCATGTGAGGCGAATGAAGGTAGTTCGCATTACCGTTAGGCTTAAAATTATTCTTAACAAAAATAATTAGTAATTATGTTTCTTCAATAGACATTATTTTTAGCCGGAACGACATCTTTATTTGCTCTACTTTTCCTCAATAAACAAAAGTTTCATTATAGATTCACTATACTTATATTGATTTTTTTGAATATTTGCTGAGAGCAAAAATGTCAAATTACACCTAATTATTAATTGGGACCAACACAATCAAATATATAAAAAATCAGGAGATTGCATTATATGGGGATTATCATTAGTCCGTCCGTCTGTCTCGCTGGCAGGGTGATGCGCAAGATAACTCTTGAAGGGAGTATCCGATTTGCACCAAACTTGGTACATCGTAATATTTGTATCAAATTTAAAAAGGTCAACATCGACAAATTTTACAGAACAGAAAGAGAAAAAATAATCCGATTTTGCTCCAACTTTGTAAATCCTAATATTTGCATCAGTGCTAGGTCAGGTCAAAATGAACAATATCGGCCCACCCCATGAAGTACCTCTCCCACAAAGGGTCAAAATTTTAAATAATTATAACTCTTTAAAATGTGATGTAAGTGATCGATTGTTTTAAAATATTTTTATTAACCCAAGGTCTGTTGTGAAGATAGAATATATCGGTCCACTCCTTCTGATACCTCCCTAACAAAAGGTTACAATTTTTAATAACCAAAACGATCATGAAATCAGAAATAACCATCGGATTCTCTTCATATTTCACACATACCATTCATTATTTCTACTATTACACGATTTGCTGTGAAGATGAAATTTATCGGTCCAATCCTTTTGGTACCTCCACCACAACGGGTCAGAATTGTGAATATCCATGAAGCTCATAAAACGCAAAATTTAACATCCGATTCCATTCAGACATGGTATATCTCAATATTCCCATCAACACAAGATCTGTTATGAAGATGGTAGAGATCGGACCATTTCTTCTGGTACCTCCCCCACATAAGGTTCAAGATTTTGAAAAACAAAACGCTCACACATACAAACATTTTCGCTAACACAAGATCTGGTGTGAAGATGTTGTATACTTGGGAACCCTTTCTGGTACCTCACCCACAAAGGGGCACAATTGTCAATACTTTATCTGTCATAACGTGCGAAACATGCCCGCGATACTCTACAACTTGATATATCTAAATATATCAATAAGCATTTTTTACTATTGAAAAGAGTATGCACACATAAGCAACTAAAGTTGACATATTAAGCCAAGTAAATAAAAAAATTAAAATCATATGGTATCATAACCCTACCTTGATTTTATTGTACCATGGGGTCTACGACAAATATTTCGATTTCAAAATTCTATATTCGAAATATTGTTGCACAGTGTAATTTAGGTAGGTAGCTAGCAGGAGCAGCTGCATGACTTTAATTCTTCTCCTACGAACTACCACCTGAAACTCTTTACAACACATTATCTCTCTTTCTCTCTTTGACATAACCATCACATCTTGCTCTCTAACATTCTCTCACAGCGATTTCCTATAAAAATTGAACGAAACATTTTTGTTGTTAGGGGTTGAGAGTAATTTATTCCATAACTCTTTGTTGTGGTATTTTAAAAGAGTCTAATAAGAACTTCACTTCCAATTGGAAATACCTCTCTTAATATTAAATGTTTGCCACATTACGGCGAGGCTTGTTGCAATATGTGGTTGTTTTGCAAATGCAACAAGCCTCTTATATAGGCATACGTTTTACTAGCTACATCTAGAAATGTCTTCCGCGCTAGAAGATGTTGGTTCTCATAACAACATATATAGCACGGTCTGATTGCTCGATACCTAAGACACTCGCACTTGCTTCCTGAATATGTTTAGGAACAACCTTTCAAAATTAGAAACCAGTAGAATAAAATTAATTATTTTTAAAATGAATATTTATTTTACAAATATTATTTACATATTATCTATGTCAACTTTAAACAAGTTAATTTAACAATTTATGACCTCTACAATGCCATTTTTAATAGAAAATTTTAAAAAGCTTGTCTTATCACAACACAACAAAACACAAACACTTTTACGATGTATTTTGGCCCACTACCGGTGAAGCGCTTGCTTGAGGTGATCGAAACTTTGGTATTTTTTAGTGCCAACTTTGCTTTCCCAAATACTCCAGGCACAACGGATTGGTATACTGAGATTTTGGTGGCCACTGTGAGCTGGAAATGAAGCGAGGAACCTCATTTACTTGGGTGGCGCGTGCTGTCAGTGGAATAATTTTAACAGCTGTCGGACGAGTGGCTTACAAATGGCAGCAGTCTGAATATGTTGAAAATATCAGTCTCCTTTGAAAAGTTTTTAACGTCCAATGAAAATAGCAGACCTTTAGACGCGAAAGCCTCTGGAAGATTTTCAGAAGGAATATTATGAGGACATTATCTTCGGAAGGAAGCTTAGATATTTTTCTATTAGCAGATGAGCTCTAGAAGAAATTCTATGTCTGAAATTGTTGACGGTTTAAAGGATCATTCAAACAAACGGATCTTTGTTATGTCCTCAAATTGTTCTTATGATTCAGAAGGCATTCATAAGGATGTTTCTTCTATAAATAAGATCTCCAAAATGTATTTCCTCTGTAGAGGACCATCAAAGGATTTTTTTCTCTTCAAAAGAATTTAACTCCATAGAAGACTTTCAAATTTTCATTTTCCAATGACCTTTTTTTATAGAAGCCTAGGTTAAATTAACCGGACCCCAGGATGAAATCGGTGCGGACTCCGGACCTTTGGAGTAAATCTCCTAGGGTTAATACCCCCGAATCCTAAAAAAAATCTCCCGCATCCTAGGAGGTTTTTACCCGTCCCTTTTAATCTCTATGGACTACCTAGTCCATCAGCTCGTCTATATGGACTCCCTGCTTCATTTATCGTTATTTCTACTCCTTGACCCAGCTTGTCTATATAGATGCCCTGGACTCCAGCTAGTCTCTATAGTGGACTCCAGCTAATCTATATAGACTATATACATCGGCTGGCCTCCAGCTAATCTATATCGGCCGGCTGGCCTCCAGCTAGTCGGTATAGAGTAAATAGACCAGCTGGCCCCCATCTAGTCTCTATAGACTAAATAGACCGGGTGGCCCCAGCTAGTCTATATAGACTATGTAGACCGCCTGGCCTCCAGCTAGTCTATAAAGACCGTCTTTCCTCTAGCTAGTCTATATTGACCGCCTGTTTTCCGTTTATGTATACTCCGTGGCCTTCAGCTAGTCTATGTAGACTCCCTGGCCTCCAGCTATTCTATGTACACTCCCTGACCTCCAAGTTTATGAAGACTCCGTGGGCTCCAGCTAGTCTATATAGATCGTAATTCCTCCAGCTAGTCTATATAGACCGCCAGTTCTCCAGCTAGTCTATATTGACCGCCTGTTTTCAGTTTATGTATACTCCGTGGCCTCCAGCTAGTCTTTGTAGACTCCCTGGCCGCCAGCTAGTTTATGGCCTCCAGCCAGTCTATGTACACTTCCTGGCTAGTCTATGTAGACTACCTGGGATCCAGCTAGTCAGTATAGAGAATGCCTGGCCTTCGGCTTGTCTATAGAGACTCCCTGGCCTCCAGCTAGCAAAATAGAGAACGACTGACCTACAGCTCTATATGAACTCCCTGACCTTAAGCTATTCTATATAAGCTCCATGACCTACAGCTAGTCTATCTGGACTTCCTAGCCTCCAGCTAGAAAGAGTAGACTGCCTAACCTTCAACTCTTCTACACAGAGAGAGACTAGACTCCCTGACCTTCAGCTTGTCTATAGAGAGGGAGAGACCCCCTAGACCCTAGACCCCCTGGACTTCAGCTCGTCTATAGAGAGACTAGACTCTCTGACCTTCAGTTGGTTGCTGTTTTTCCTTCTCACCCTGTAGAAGTTTCAGAACATTTATGACCGATTTGGCCATAAAAAAAAATGTTCACATGTTGCAGGGCCCGGATTCTATTATTTTTCTTTTGTCATTACCATCTGAAGCCAATTTCTTCAAACTGAACAGTGTCGTATCTCAAATCGAACAATTTGGGTTGGTTCGACCCAACTATATCCATTTTTGTTTTTTAATTCACTGAATTTTGGATCTGCGTAATACTGATTCATTTCGATGTTTCAGCCTGAGCGACATATCTGCTACTATAAATTTAAAAAAACACACTCCTAATAATCTGACGATTCTCATATGTCTCCCAGAATAATCTCGGAATACCCCAACAAACATTGATAAGTGGATTTTTTTTTTTTTTTTTTTTTTTTTGAAATATTTTGTTTACTTTTTTGTCATCCATTTGTATTTCCCTTAATAAAAAAAAACATTAAAAAAATTCACTATCTTTGTGCTGGGGAATAACCAACGGCTTGAAACAAAAGGCGGCATCACGGCACGGTGTGGTATAAATATCTTGAGAATTTTTGCGACTCGAACATTAAGCGACGATGCCTACTGGAAGATCATTCAATTTTGGCTCACTATTAATTGTGACACTGCTCGCCATTGTCGGCGGTGTGCCACAGTGGTACAACAGCACAGATGGCAGGCAGTATTTAATAGACGGCGATCGAAAGGTAAATTAATGCAAATTAATAAAAAGGTCTAAAAATAATTAGCAATTCTTCTTTTTTTCACTTCGTGGCTACTAGTATAACTGGTTTGAAGCTCGTCATGAGTGTGCTCGACGCAATTTGCAGCTTGTCGAGATTGAGACAAAGGAAAAAAATGAAGCTTTGTTGGCGGTGCTGAAGCCAATTTTCGGTAAGCAAAAAAAAAAAGAATATAAACGATGTTATATGAGAATTTATAATCATTTTTCTCATTTCATTATTAGGAAATTCCTATAATCTGTGGCTGGGTGCAATGGATGAATACAGTCGCGATAAGAATTTCGAGAGACCTTTCTATTGGTCGTCCAGTGGCAAACCGATGACCTTTTCGTATTGGTCCGATAATAATCCCGACAATCATAAGGAGGATGAACACTGCGTTCACACATGGGCATCGAAATCCAATTATCTCTGGAATGATAATCGTTGTGACCACCAACGTTTCGGTTTCATTTGTGAAGATCATTATTTGCATGCGGAGCAGCAAAAAATGTTGAGCGAAAAAGTTCAAAAACTTAGGCAACCAAACGCCAAATTATTTGAAGAATATCATCTTCAACAAAAAGAATATTCTGAGAAATTATCGAGCCTTTTAGCGGAGAACGAAGCGGGAGAAATGGAATTTAAAGAGGTGCTACATAACATTTACACAAAATTGGAATTTGATATAAGTCATGCCTTGGCTCAACATCAGAGAGAAGTCAACTCCCTGGTGGAGAATAGAAATGAGGCGGTGCATAAACGAAATGCTGAACTGAGAACTTTCAACGAGGAAATGTCGAAGAAATTTAGCAAAGAATTAGAAGCTGCGAAGATAGTTTATGATGATGTTTTGACAGTTTAAGTTTAGCATTTAAGCAGATACATTTAAAATAAAATAAATTAGATGTGATAAGACAAAGAAAGAACTCTTTATTCTGAACAAGAACAATTTCAGTCAGTTTTCCGACAGATATATACCCTCAGCATATGGCCATACCCCGAGTGGCGCATCCACCTTTAATTTTTGAAAATATTAGAGTTAAGATACCTTGTAATCCATGCTTTTGTGGTATATTGAGTCTTGGGCAAGATTTCTATAAAAATAAGTTAAAAAGTATCAGTCGGTTTTTCCGAAAGATGTATGCCTTCGGCCAAAGTTCGATTATTTAAATATATTCTGCCTTTTGTTATGATTATACAAATTGTTGACTCTCCATGGAGTAGGTTGCGAAGGAATGGACATATATTGTCCATTTCGTATCGGACCTAAATAAACATGATATAAATATTGCGATGTGTCAGGTTCAGACTATATTCGTTACTTCTTTCACTTTATATGCGATATAGGGTAATCTTTAGAAAATACTAAAATGTGTCTGAGGTACCAAATACAGAGTGAAATGAAAAAAAACTGCAGCCAACTACAGACTGCTGTCACTTCCAAGCTACTTGTCAGACAGCTGTTAAAATTATTCCATTTACATATCGCAATATTCCATTCGGCAAATTTTGAAAAATGATTTAGGGGTAAAGCTATTGAAATTCCAAAAAGTGCAAGAACTAACACCGCAAATGAAAGAAAATAGACTCAAAAGAGCTAAAGAGTTGCTTGGCCGAAAGAGGTGAACTGCCGAATTTGGGTTTTCTCCGATGAGAAAACATTCGTTGTCCAGCAGTTTGTAAACAAACAAAATGATTGTGTTTACTTGCCAAAGAGGTCAGCTGAAAATGTAAACCTTCGATTGGCCACCAGAACTCAAGCGCCGGTGATGATGTGGGCCGCCATAACAGCCGATGGTCGGTTTCCACTCGTATTAATTGACCGTGGCATCAGAATAAATGCCGAATATTATCGCGAAAATATTCTGGAGGATGTATTACAGCCTTGGGCACGCAAACATTTTGGCCGCTGACCTTGGACATTCCAACAGGACTCAGCATCATCGCTCTCAGCACGCGCCATCCAAGAATGGTTACAAAATGAGGTTCCTCGCGTCATTTCCAGAGCACAATGGCCACTAAAATCTCCTGATACCAATCCGTTGTACTGTTGTGTTTGGAGTATTTTGGAAACCAAGGTTGGCACTAAAAAAATACCAAAGTATCGGTCACCTCAAGCAAGCTCTTCACTGGGAATGGTCAAAATACTGCAGAACAACATTCGGACAGCGTTTTCATTGACCGTTTGAAGGGCATAACTCATGCCAAAGGTGACCAAGTCTAACAAATCTAAACTTATTCTAAAATGTGAGGCTTTTATTCAACAAAAGTTAAAAAAATGTAAAAATTATGGATTTTGACTTTGTTACAGTTTTTTTATCTCACCCTGTATATCATCTTCACAACTGATCTTGTGTTAACAAATATGTTTGTATGTGTGAAATTTGAAGAGAGTTGGGAGCTTATTTCGCTTTCTTTGAACGTTTTGTTTTTCAAAATCTTGAACCCTATGTGAGGGAGGTACCTAAAGAACTGGTCCGATCTCTACCATCATTACAAGAGATCTTGTGTTGATGGAAATATTGAGATGTGCCAAATCTGAATAGATTCGGACGTTAATTTCGCGTTTTATAAGTTTCATGGGTACTTAAATTGTTGACTCTTTGTGGGGGTTGTGCCAGAAGGAGTGGACCGATGTATTTCATCTTCTCACCAAACCTTGGGTTAATTAAAATATTGTAATGTATGTAATTTGAAGAGATCCAGATACTTATTTCGGATTTTATGATCGTTTTGGTTATTCAAAACTTCGGCCTAGAAGAAATGGTCCGATCTCTACAATCCTTATAACATATATTGTGTTGAAGTATTGAAAATTTGCATGTTATATGGGAGAGCTACCAGAAGGAGTGCATTGATATTGCCCATCTCCGAACACGATCTAAGTTTGATAATAATATTACGACGTACCAAGTTTGGAATAAATCGGATACTCCTTGCGAGAGTTATAGTGCGGAACATACCTAGATCGACTCCAAATGTCTTGAAACGAGTCTGGTCCAAAGAGACCTAGGGTACCTAGATCGACTCCAAATGTCTTGAAACGAGTCTGGTCCAAAGAGACCTAGGGTCTAAAGCCCTAATTTAGATCAGGCTCGTTTTGGCCTCATCAAATGTAGCCATATGGCTGAGGTTGTAAAAATACGAGAAATATTTTGTAAAAAAAAAAAATCAAATTCAAAAATTCAAAAAAGCAGCGCTTTTTATTCTTTTTCTTAAATATGGGTACACATTCCATTTTGACGGGATCGTAGCAAGTCAAAATATTCTACAAAATTATTTGTTATAAAATTCTACTACAGGTTGTAGAAGACCTCAATGGTCTAAAACTTTCCTATAAGGGAAAGTGCCCTTTAAAATGGATCGAAACAAGTCATAATAGTCTACTATATTATTTGCCATAATATTCAGCCACAAGTTCTAGAAGATGTCGAAAGTCTATTTCTTACCTAAAAGTCAGAAATTCATATTTTAGAGTTTTAGCCATACTTTGTGTGAGTTTGTGCAATAATCTCCAACAAAACATCATTTTCGAAGGATGACGTAAAAGACAAATATATCAAATTGAAGTCTATGTTTTCATTGCATTTTATAAAAATTAAATTAAAAATGAATATCACAAAAAGAAAAAACACCAAAAATCCAACAACATTTTCTAAGTTTTTTTGATCGAATTTTCCCCTGCGAAATTAAATTGATTATTGACAATTTTCTGAATATGTGGGTTTGAATGCATAAAAATCCTGTTTCAATCAAACGCATATACCGGCATTGGGATAAATTTAGGAGAAATCACCTAATGTAAATCACCCTTTTAGTTAGTTATTTTTCTTTACGCCTAAAAGTATGCAATATTTTCATATAAACCGACATTCTACGATGAAAATGGTTGAATAAAGAATGAGAGAAAATTTGTTTCTCAGCCCTTCACCGGGTTACCTCTGCGAACTTTGTTGTTGATAATGGTAATTTGCAATCTGGACCTGAAACGCAGCTTAGAGTTTGCGACTCAGATTCGTTGATGATAACCCAGAGACCGTCTAGAACTAAATGCGATCACAATAATTGAACAAGTCATAATCTGGAAATTAATCTCTAAGCTGATTATCAAGCTTTTTTTTCATCCAACATAAGCATAAGGAAAATTACCTCCGGCATGCTATTTACACCTCCTCACAATATATCTATCTATATATAGAAAAGTAATAGTAATTGACTGAGTGAGAATTAACGTCCCGAAGAAATGGTTGAAACTGGAATCTTGAAATTTTGCTCGAGGGTCAGTCTTGGTACGTAGGCATGTTATAAGGCTGGCTTTTTGGAAATTCGAACCGAAAGGTTACAAAAAATTCTAAAATGTACTAATATTTAATACTTTGTATTGGACAAACGGAATGAACTGTATGAGATGTACCAAAGGGTTTTTGGAATTTCGTACTGAAAGGGTAAGAGATGTCTAAAATGGTACCATTTCGTATTATGTGAAGCAATAGAGAATAGAAAATATGACATTTTATATGAGAATAATGGTTGGAAAGTAAGTTTGATACACAAAGGTGGTTTTGAAAATGTGGACTAAGTGTACGAAGTGTACTAAATGGAATTGTACTAATTGGAACAATTTGGTTTAGGATGAACGGAGGAAGCTGAAATGTCGAGTTTGGTGTTGAAATCCCAGTTCGTGGTAGCTTTGTGATAAAGATAGACAGACTTCTACATACCAGACATTCTGATTTCAAAGTGCTAAATTGTGAAGACCTCTTCATAGTACGTTATATTTATTATAATTTATTTTTTCCACTCATAATTGTCAAGACATATTTCAAAAATTATAAAAAAAAAACCTTAATTTAAAAATGTATATTTCCAAGAATATCTTCGATTTTTCGCTCTACTTCAAACTGCTCCTGGGAAATTCTATTGGCTATCTTTGGTGTGGAATTCTCCAATTTTTCATAGAGTTCATTGATGTGCTCATTTGTCTCTGTCGGTACCTTCTTCATTTCCTGTTTATTCTCCGCCTCATCACTGCCGCCATTGTGGGAGGATTTACTCTCGAGAGCTGCCAAAAATTCTTCAACCTCTTTGTTATTTTTTGCAATCAGATTCCGGGTGCGATGTACCATCTCCAAAACCTTCTCCTTTTCGTGTTGCATCGATTCGGAGAATTTTTTGATGGCTTTCATAACATGTTGACGTTTTTCGCGCAACGTTGAATAGTATTTATTGTGGGCGTGTTGATCTTCACATATGAAACCGTATTGATTGGTACATGTCACATCGTTCCATTGAAAATCGGGACTATAGGCAAAGGTTTGCACACAATTTTCCTGATTGCGTTCATTGTTCGGTTCTCCGGGATACCAGTAGCTGTAGGTCATACCCTTGCCGGAGGCAGACCAGTAGAAAGGACGATTTGTGCTGATTTCAGAATTGAATTGGTCATTGCCACCCAACCACAGACTGGTGGAGGTGCCTGGGAACGAAATATTAACAAATGTTGGATTACAGAAATTAGATTGGGTTTTTGTAAAACAACCTACCAAATATCGATTTCAATAACTTCACCAAAGCTTGATTTTTCGATTCCGACTGGATTTCCACCAATTGTAAATTTCTGCGTGCGCACTCATGATTGGTCCTAAACCAATTGTACTTTAATGAAATTTCAAAACTATTATAATTAATTGTTTAATATTTATTTTATGTCAGTAAATCACCTTTGCAGCACTTTCAATCAAATACTGCCGACCATCCGAACTGTTATACCATTGCGGTTCAGCAATGGCCACTCCAATGAATAACAGCACCAATAAATAATAACTTTTCATTTTCACTTCTACATAAAAAAATATTATAAACTATGGCAATTTTAATTCTTTGCTACCAATATTTATACCCTAAATGGGGTATTAAAATTTGCTAACTCCAACAGCTTCATAATCCACAGTTTGCATTTTTGTTATTGGCTTTGGGGGAGTGGAGTGGAAATATCCAAAGAACGTCATCAAACTTTAAAGAAATGCAGCGCAGTTGATTTTATTCAATATTGCACACATTGCGGAACGTGTGGTGCTTAATGTTTAAATCAGAGCTGAGCAAAATAATATAAAGAGATTGTTTAAGAGAAAAAAATATTGTATTTAAAACCTACAACAACACTATGTGTTGGGGGTATTATAAGTTTGATTGGGCCAAAAACTATGTAACACCTAGAAATATTTGTTTCCCACATAGGAAAGTATATATGGATCTTCCTATCTCGCCGAGATGAGTCGATCTATGTATGTCCGTTCGTCCGTCTGTCCATGTTAATTTGTAATCCAGCTACAGGTCGCAATTATGGTCCGATCCTCACGAAATTTAGAATGGAGGTGGGGATAGGGTACAGAATAGAACCCTATTGTTTTTGGAGATGATCGCACGATATTTAGGGGTTGAAATGGACCAAAAACAGAAAAATTTCCTGATTTTGCAGTTGCTTTATAGGCCACAATTATGAACCAATGGACGCGAAAATTTGCATGGAGTTAAAGTTTAGGAGTGGGTAGAAACCTACCAAATTGGGCGGTCATCGGACAATAACTAACAGGTAAAATAGACCCTAACTTTTATGTAAAAAATTGGAAAATTTCCACTAAACCGCGAATCAATCCAAGCCAAATCACAAATAAAGGGTGTTTTTTAAGCCCCGATAGAACTTGAAATTGTAAAAAATAACACAAAAAATTAGATTTTAATCAATTTTTTTTTATTCGAAAGATCAATAAGTGACATGAACATTTGAAAATGATTTCGGGCATATGGGCACCACTGCTGTTCTTGACGAAGTGCATTCTGGACGTCCAATTTTCGGCCACTTTTTCGAGCACTGCTGGCCGTATGTCACGAATAACACGAACAATGCTGGCCTCCAAGGCGTCAATTGTTGTTGGTTTATCAGCATAAACCAGTGATTTCACGTAACCCCACAGGAATAAATTAATCGAGAGGTGTCAAATCGCACGACCTTGGAGGCCAATTGAAAGGTCCACTTCTCGAAATCAACTTATCTCCAAATTTTGATTTCAATAAGCGGATGGTTGCGTTCGCCGTATGGCACGTAGCTCCGGATCAATGTCATCCATATTTTTAAACAAAAAATCATTGATCATGGTGCGGTAACGATCTCCATTGACCGTAACGCGAGCTTCGGCCTCATTTTTAAAGAAATAAGGTCCGATGATGCCACCAGCGTGAAAACCGCACCAAACGGTGCATTTTTCTGGATGTAATGGAGTCTGCAGGGTCTCTTATGGATTGATCTCACTCCATTTGCGGCAATTTTGCTTATTAACAAACCCGTTAAGCCAAAAATGCGCCTCATCGCTGAACACAATTTTGCGATAAAACAACGGGTCATTTGCCAACTGCTCTAGAGTCTGATTTTCAAAGTAAATTTGGATAATTTCGTAGCGTTGTTCAAGCGTGAGTCTATTCATGATGATTTTTCAGAGTATACTGAAACAAATAAAAAAAGTTTCATCAAAATTTAATTTTTTGTGTTACTTTTTACAATTTAAAGTTCTATCTGCTTAAAAAAACACCCTTTACATTAAAAGATCACTTCTGACCATTACAGTGATGCTAATAGCCAAGAAATCGGATATATAGCAAAATAGGTACAACATATATGTAAAAGAATTTATCTTATTTATTCTGCTTATAAATCAAGAACCGCTGGGCCAGTTTTCACAATTCGCATCAATTCGGAATGGTTTCTATCCAGAAAACGATAAAATCGAAGAAAATCGCGGAAGAATATACCAATAAAAACGTGAATATCTTTTGTCGATTTTTTTTTCAATTTTTGTCACATTTTTTTATCGCATGCGATTTTTTCAATTTGACTTACATTTTTGAATTGTAAATTTCGAAATTTTTACACCCCCAACACTACGTTTTGAGGGTATTATATGCATGTCGCAATTATCGTCCGATCCTCACGAAATTGTGCATGGGAGTGGGCTTGGGCTCAGAATTAAAGCCTATTGTTCTTAAGATGTACACTTAGAGGTGCAAATGGACTAAAAAAAATTAATTGTTTCTAATTTTGTAGTCCCTCTATAGGTCACAATTGAAAACTTATCGACACGGAATTTCGCATCAGAAGATGCTGAATATTTAACAACACTACGGAGTGCGTAAATTTTGGCCAAATACTCCGGGTCAAAAAACTAAGGGTAACCTCTGGGCAGAGCTCTTTGACATTATTTCAAAAACGAAATCTTCCAAAATGGATTTGGTTATAAGGGGAGTTCGAATATATTGTAGTGTTGTATGGTATCGCATGGTCGGCCCCGCAAGACTACAGCCTTTGCCGATTTGGTTCCAACTTTCCAAATACTAATATTTATGTCAGTGCTAGGTCAGGTGTGAAAATGGACAATATCGGTACACTTTATCAAGTACCTCCCCCACAAAGGGTCAAAAGTTCCAATAATTGTAACTCTTATAAAATTTGATGTAGGTTTCAGATTGTCTTCAAATTACACAAATCACAGTATTTTTATTAACCCATGGTGTGAAGATGGAATATTTCGGTGTCTCCCCTTCCTGGTATCTCCCGCACAAAGGGTCAAAATGTTGAATGACCAAAACGATCATAAAATCCGAAATAAGCATCGGATTCTCTTCAAGTTACACACATCACAATATTTTTTATTAAACCAAAGTCTGGGGTGAAGATGGGATATATCGGTCCACTCTTCCTTGTACCGCCCCCACAAAGGTCAAAATTTTGAATTTTCATGAAGCTCATAAAACGCGAAATAAGTCTACGATTTCATTCAGACTTGGTACATCTCAATATTTCCATCAACACAAAATCTGTTATAAATATGGTAGAGATCGGACAATTTTTTCGGGTACCACATAGGGTTCAAGATTATAAAAAAACCAAAACGGTCACAGAGAACGAAATAAACATCCAACTCTCTTCAAATTTTACAAATGCAAATATTACTGCGAACCCCTTTTGGAACCTCACCTCAGGGTGCATTTTAGTACTTTTCGTAACTTTTTAGTACGAATTTCCAAAAGCCAAAGCCTTCTCACACGCTTTTGCACCAAGACACACACTCGTGTAATTTCAAGATTCTTTAGCTTTAGCTGCTTCGTCTTGGCCTTGATTCTCGCTCAGTAAGTCAGTTATTTCACTACTCTTGGAATCACTTTGGTAAGTACTTATGACATGTCGATGTTTAAACAAGTTAAAAATCAGTAAGTTCGGCCGGACCGAACTTTGAATACCCTCCACCATTTGGAAAGAATTTGGAAATTTTCAAAAAATAAAATCCTTAAAATATTCTGTTAAAATTTTAAAAATACCAAATACAGCCGTTATATCAATGTGTTTACGACGTGGGCCTACATAGGCATTGTTTGTCATAAGCCATTACCATATTCAAATTCGAAACTTGAAATAAACGGTGAATAATGTAGCTAAAATCATCAAAATGTCGTATATATGGAGGTACCGTTACATCGGAGCTGTGCGAAGACCTGGACGTGCATAGACAATTTTATGTGACAGGCTGTAGCATCCATTACGAACTTCAAATACCACATCTCAAACAATTTCGATGGGTATTGTACCTAAAATCGTCAAAATACGGAAGACTCGGACCTGCATAGGAAATTTTCGATCACAGACTGTAGTTCCCATAACGAACTCTAAATACGTAATTTGAAACAATTCTGGTGAATAATGACGCTAAAATCATTAAAATACCGAATATTGAGAGGTACCGTTATATGGGGGCTATACGAAGACGTGGACTTGCACAGACAATTTTCTGTCTTAGGCTGTAGTATCTATTACGAACTTCAAGTACCAAATTTGAAACAATTCCGGTTAATAATGTCGCTAAGATCATTAAAATACCGAAGATCGGGAGGTACCGTTATATGGGGGCTATATGAAAACGTGAAACTACATGGCCCATTTACGAACTTAACCTGCCTACTGGAAAAATAAACATGTGTGCAAAATTGTAGCTATCTATTTCAATTCATTCGAAAGATAGAGTGATTACAACAGAAAGACGGACGGACAGAGCGACAGACATCGCTAAATCGACTTTGAATTTTACGCTGATCAAGAATATATATAATTTGTTGGGTCTGACATGGGTATTTCGAGGAGTTACAAACGGAATGATAAAGTTAATATACCCTCCATAGTATAGTGGAGGGTATAATAAGGGGATGTAGGGCTTATTAAACCCATCATTTGATAAGATGTTTTGCGGAGGACCCTTCAAATTATGGGGGGGGGGGGGGGGGGTTGATGCACCTAAAGATAATCTTAATACTTTTACCGGGGGATTTTTTGAAAAAAAAAAAAAAATTATAATTATTCATTAAAATAATCTCCTACATGCATGTATGTTCCCACAAGGGGGACATTCCTGCTGATAAGAACTAGAAATCCACTGATAAGAATAGCTCAATATTCTTCGCATCTACAATAAATCCCAGAATATTTAATTCAAGTCTGAAATTCAATTAATATGGACACACTCAGAGCAATTTCCTCGCTTATTTTGTTAATAATTTCAATAATTAATTTCACAAATGCCGTGCCGCAATGGTATAATGGAACCGACGGCAGACGATATTTGGTTGAAGGAGAACAGAAGGTAATAAATCATTTAAACCCGAAATAAAATATAAGGTATTTTTTCTATTTCCAGTACAACTGGTTCCAAGCATTTCATGAGTGTGCCCGTCGCAATTTGCAGTTGGTGGAAATCGAGTCCCGGCAAAAGAATGAGATTTTGATTGCCATACTGAAACCACTTTTTGGTAAGTCAAGAGAAATAAAATTTGAAATTACTTAAAACTCAATTATACTCCTCAGGCAACTCCCATAACCTTTGGATAGGTGCCATCGATGAATATAATGGCCAAAAGAATTACAATCGCCCCTTCTACTGGCACTCGTCTGGCAAACGGATGACCTTCTCCTATTGGTCCGACAGCAATCCGGACAATGACCGCAATGATGAACATTGTGTTCACATGTGGGCCAGTAAGCCCAATTACAAATGGAATGATCATCATTGTGATTGGCCGCGTTTGGGTTTTATTTGTGAGGATCATTATCTCCAAGCTGAATGCAGAAAAGTTTCAGAGAAAAAAATCACACAGATTACAAATGTGGCTGAGACAGTTGTGGGGGAATATTATGAACAACAAGAGGCCCAAATAGATAGTCTGAAAAAGGCACTGGACAAAATTGAAACGGAGGAGTTGCATTTTAAGGAACAGCTCAATGAGCTATTGACGCAAATAGAAGCTGAAACGAATACATTACTGGTCAAGTATAGAATGGAAATGAACTCAATGGTGGATGAGAGAAATCGGGTGTTACATAATACAAATTTGGGGTTACGCAGTGCCATAGAAGTTTTGACCAAGAAATTTAGTAAAAAATTGGAAACGACTAAAACCGATTACAGGAATATTTTACAAGAATGAGTACAGCATTTAAATAAGAGATTTTCCAATAAGAGTTGTGATTTTTAATATTTAAAATGAAATAAATAATTTAACCTAAGAAACCGAATCTCCTTTAGGGGTTTGACCCACAAATTCACAACCTAGACTGGCCATTGTACAGCGAAATTATGAAAAAATTTGCAGGAAAAAAATTGTCAAAAGTAAAAAAAGGCTTTTGTATAATAAAATTTATGATTTTTTTTATACCCTCCACCATACATAGCATGGAGGGTATAATAAGTTGGTCATTTCGTTTGTAACTCATCGAAATAATAATTTTAGACCTAACAAGGTATATTGTTCTTTATCAGCGTAAAATTCTAAGACGATTTAGCTCTGTCCGTCTGTTGTAATCACGCTAGAGTAAAAACGCATAAAGATAGGAAGCTAAAAGTTTGCACAGATCAGTCTTTTGTAGGCAGGCAGGTCAAGTTCGAAGACGGACAATATCGGTCCACGATATCGTATATCCCCCATATGACGGTATCTTCCGAGAAAATATATTTTAATGTTGTAGCCAAAATTTTCAATGAAATTGTCTGAAAATCCACACAGGGAGTTCCTTCTGAGTACTTTACCCTACCTTCTGGAACAGTCTTTTCACGGTCCACGATATCGTATACAACGGTACCCCCACTATTCTCTATTTGGAATTAACGGAATTGCTTCAAATTATGTAGTTAAAGTTCGTAGTGCGTAGTACAGCCTATGACAAAAAATTGTATATGCAGGGCCACGCCTTCGTTTAGCATCCATAAAACGATACCCCCGATATTCGGTATTTTGATGCTTTGTATAGAATGTTAGACAATTCCATTAAAAAATGTGGTAATTTCAATGGAATTGTCTAACATTCTACACAAGGAGTTCCTCGTGACTACATTACCCCCTGAAAAAAAATTGTCTATATAGGTCCACGATATCGTATATCCCCCATATAACTTTACCTTCCGATATTCGATATTTTGATGATTTTTGCAACATTTTTCAATGGGCTTGGCTTAAAATGTACACAAGGAGTTCTCTGTGGGTACCTTACCCCCTAAAAGAGAATTGTCTATATAGATCCACGATATCGTGTATACCCCCCAAATGGGAAATTTCTATATGGGTCCACGATATTGTATAGCCCCCCCCGCCATACAATGGTGCCCCCAATATTCGGTACTTTGATGTTTTTAGCCACATTTTTCAATGGAATGGTCTGAATATCCACACAAGGAGTTCCCCCTGAGTATTTTATCTCCTGTAGACGTAGACATATAAAGACAAGAGTATTGTCTTTATATGTCTACGTTTTAGTATAGCACCCATATAACGCAATCCCGTGATATTCGGTATTTCCATGATTTTCGCGACATCATTCACCAGAATTGCGTCAAATTTCGTATTTGAAGTTCGGAATCGTTACTACAGCACCACGTCTTCGTATAGCCCCATAAAAAGGTTTTCATTGGAGCGATATTTTTCGACGCAATTTTTTTTCGAAATTTTTCAAGAATGGTGGAAAAATTTTCGAAAATTTTCAAGTTCTTTCCGAATGGTGGAGGGTATAAAAAGTTTGGCTCGGTCGAACTTAGCTGCTTGTTATGGTACGTATTGAGTATGGAAAATTATGTTGTTCGGAGACGCACAAAAAAATTCGAACTAGAACATTTCTCCCTTTGACATTTTCCCCAAAAACTGAAGTATTAAGGGAGATGTTAGACCTTTTTAGTACCCACACTGTATGCATCGTACAAAACTTAATACATTGTACTAAATTTTCGGACCTTTAAGGTTTTGTATATTATTCTAATTTTTCCTTTTTCGGAAAAAATAATCGGCAAATTTTTACCTTTCACACCAAGAAGTTCTCAAAATCTTTCATTTTGAAGTTTACAGAGGAGGTTTTTATTAGAACCATTGCATTGGACCCCCATTCACTTTTTCTGTTCAAAACTATTTAAACGTCTCCATATGCTATATCAGATTTCGAAATTTTAGAACGGTAATACTCCCTTTTGCTAAATGTAGTACCATATCAACCGCAGTGACATCCATATCAAATTTTAGGCTCTATTCCTTCACCCAACACCAAATTTAGTTCAATTTTGAACTTTTCGAATAACTACAGTATACATTTTCCATCCTTATACCAAATCTGTCAAATTTCGGGATTACAGTTCCATCCCTTCACCCAATGCCATATTTAGTACCATTTAGTACTTTTCGAACAGTTATTTTACACATATCCAAAAACACCTCAATTTCATAAGACATCCATATCAAATTTCAGTTCAATTTAGTACTTTTCTAACAAAAATAGAACATATTTCCATATTTACTTCAAATTTCAATCCCAGATATCAACAGAGACCTCGATATCAAATTTCGGGATTCCAGCTATATCCCTTCACCCAATACCCAACTTAGTACTCTTTGAAGAATTATAGTGCATATTTCAACACCTCCATATCTTAACCATAGCCAACAAGAGTGACATCCATATGTAATTTCAGGATGTCAGCTTTATTTCTTCACCCAATGCTAAATTTAAAACCACTTAGAACTTTTCGTACAATTATAGGTAACATTTCCGAAACCACCTCTATATGTGAAACTACATATAAACAGTGACTCCGATTTTAAGCACAATCTGTTCAATCAATATCATCAAATTGTACCAACTATAGTACTATTTATTGTTTTTCGTACAGTTATAGTACACATTTCCAAAACTACCCCCATATGTCGATTCCAGATACTAACAGGGACCTAAAAATCAAATGTGAGGATTCCAGGCCAATACCAAATGTTGTACCAGTTAGTACTTGTTGTACCAATAGAGGATGTATTCCCAAACTATCGCCAAATCTTAAACACACATACCATCAGTAATCTATATATCAAATTTTAGACTCTTATATCTATCCCTTCATCCAATACCAAATATAGTACCATTCAGTACTTTTGATACTATTAAGGTACAGGTTTCCTATAGCATCTTCATGTGCCTAGGCTACACACGAACAGTGACCCTTATTTCCAGTTTCAGATTTTATGCACTATCTGTTCACAAAATACCAAATTGTGTCAATTGTACTATTTACTACTTTTCGTACAATTATAGTACAAATTTCGTAAAACAACTTTTTATCACAAACTTACCACCAACAGGAACGCCCATATAAAATTTCAAAAGTCCAGCTTCATTCGTTCAGCCTAAACCACCTTTTCCACATTTAGTATCATTTAGTACAGTTCGCACCCATGGAACACATTTCCAAAACCATTTCGTATAGCAAACTTACTTTCCAATCTTCATTCTCATAACAAATTTCTAGTTTTTAGCTCTATCCCTTCACATAATACCAAATGGTATGATTTAGTGTCATTGTAGAACATTTCATAACAATAAAGTTCGATTTCCCAAAAACCCTGTGGTGTATCTGTCCTACACTTCATCAGTGACTCTCATTGCAATTTTTCGAATTCTTGCTCATTCCGTTTGTCCAATACAATGTATTCAAATTCTAAGTGTTTTTCAGTACTTCTCGGAACCTTTAAGTACGGATTTTCATAAACCCAGCCTTATAACATGCCTACACATCGAGACTGACCCTCGTGCAAAATTTCAAGCCATCAGCTTCAGCCGTTTTGTCTAGGAGTTGATTTTGAGTCAGTCAGTCAATTATTTCTTTACTCGTTTTTATATCCTCAGCCATATGGCTACAGATGGTATAAATCATTCAATACGGCCAAAACGTGCCTCATAGTGCCTAGATCCTAGATCTCTAGACCATTTTAGGACACTTGTAATCGACTACAGGCGTGTTCATCTGTCTGCCTGTCTGGCTGGTGGGCACGATAACTCTCGAAAGGTGTATACGATTTGGTCCAAATTTGGACCAAATATCATAATATAATTATCTAAATTAGATTGAGTTCGGCTAGGGGCAAAATTTGTCCACTGCTTCTACTACTTCCCCTACATTTTTTTCACAGAAAATAGTTTGCATTATGGTACAAGAGAGGATAACCAATTTTTTTACAAACTTTGTAAATCTCATAATTCATATAAGTACTAGACCAAGTACGAAAATGAATAATATCGGCCTACTCAATCAAGTAACTCACCCACAGGGTCATTTTTTTTAATTGTAACTCTTATAAAGTGCGAGTTTCTGGCATCTCAATATTTTTACTAACACAAGATTTCGTGTGAATACGAAATATATCGGACCACTCCTTCCGGGACCTCCAACACAGGGGTCACAATTTTTAATAATTATATCTTTCATGAAAGGCAAAATAAGAATGAGATTCTCTTCGAATTTCACACATCCCAATATTTTTATTTACAAAAGATCGGATTTAAAGATATGATATATCGCATCACGCTTTCCGGTACCTCTCCCCTCTCTCATAAAATGCTACATTTTTCAAGATTTCTACTAACAAAAGATCAGTTATGAAGATGGTAAATATCGGTCCACCCCTTCTGTTACCACCCCCACAATGGGTCACAATTTCCAATACTTATATCTCTAATAACTTGTGATACAAGTCATCGATTATATTAAAAATTGCTCTGTCTTAAAATTTTTCTCAATCAGAGATGTGATACGAATATGGAATTTATCGGTCATTTCCTTCTGGTTTTTGCCCACACTAATATTTTGGATTAGATGAAGTGGAGTACTTCGGTCCGCTATGTAATATACCTCACGCATATTTCAACATTTTCCGAAAATTATCATATAACTCATATAAACTGAAGGAAGTAGTCGATCTACCACTTTTTAACTGACTGATAGTTTTTAACTTGCTTTCAGATACATAAAATGACGACCCACCTAAATTTACTTCCGATTTTATTTGAAGCTAAGCATTAATATTGCACACGGCAATATCTGTTATGATCAACATAATTTTGTTTATATGTTTTGAAATACGTTTGTGCTGACGAAGTCACCAAATTTTTGAATAAACATGTTTGCTAACTAAGCTTAAAGTATGCACTAAGCTGGGTTAACACTATTCTACAATTATTTGATATATGGATTTAGAAAATCTTCAAAATATTTGGAAACCCAAAAACTGAAATTACCAGCAGATTTTTTTTGGTTCATGGAAAAGTTCTAACCTCTAGAAAACTTATTTTGAAGAAATGTTAATACTCACTTACAATATCTGTCGATTAGTGTAAATTACACTCCCATTTCTGGATTATATAAAACAAAGAAAGAAAGCTATACCACATCAGTTGTAAATTGGAGTCATCAACATTAGTATGGCAGTCTTGAAATATTTTTTAGCAGTTCTATTTGTAGGAGTTGCGATAGCGGAGCCCCAGTGGTATAATAGCAGAGATGGACGTCGTTATCTAATTGATGCCGAACAAAAGGTATTGAGTTTGGGATCACAAACCTAAACTTGGAATTACCAAATTAAGGTTCTCATGTCTTTTCTAGTACAATTGGTTGAGTGCTCAACAAGCATGTTCGCGCCGGAATTTGCAATTGGTTGAAATTAAGTCGGCGGCCAAAAATGAGGCTCTAGTGGAAACTCTGAGCTCGATCTTCAGTAAGCAATAACTCTCAAAAAAGTTACGGACATCTTTCCCAAAATATATATTTTTTAATTTCTTACAGAACGTCCCATAAACTTGTGGTTGGGCGCCAATGATGAATTCAATCCCACTCAGGATCCCCGACGACCCTTCTACTGGTCCTCATCTGGCAAACGCATGGACTTTACCAATTGGTCCGAGGGTAGCCCGGCCAATACCAACTCCAATGAACACTGTGTTCACATTTGTGCCAAATCCCAAAACTACGAATGGAGTGACTTGGCTTGTACCGAACAAATTGGTTTGATCTGTGAAGAGCAACCCCAATACAACACACATCGCCAATCGTTGCAAGAGAAAGGTCAAAAGGTGGTAGATATCACCAGGAAACTTTTCGGTTCCCAGCAGCACGAACAAAAGAAGTCCATGGAAAAATTGACACGCCTCATCGGCCAGGTGGTAAAAAAGAATAATGAAATCGAACGTTATTTGGAAAAGATCGAATCGAATATGGCCCAAAGTAATGATCGTACAGTCGAATTGCGTAACAAGGAGTTGCGTTCATATGTTGAAGCTGCCCTCAAGACAGTCCGCGAACTTGATCAAGAAATGCAAGATGTCGCCCAACAGATGTACACAAAATTCTCCAAGGATTTCAATGATGTTCAAAAGACCATTGAATACATTATGGGCAACAAAAATGAGCAACAAGATGCGGCATGGAAGTAAATTAAAGAGACTTTATTGTTTTTATTAAAAAAATCTTAAATTAAAAGTAAATAAAAATACAAATATTTTTTAACAAAATTTAAAAATTATCACAAAACGAATTTTCTTGCTCGACATGTACTTGAAATATACGGAAACGTATGATATGGGTTCTCCTCAAAAATATTGTTTACAAATCAAATGGCTGTCTTTTAAAAAAATATAAATTTTAAGTTTATGCTTATAAAATTTATTATTTTTTTACTACATTTAGAAAACTTACTATGAAAAATGAAATGGGTTCATTAAAAAGGCTCTTAAAATTATTATTTTAAACCTTATATTCCTTAAAATAGTATTTAAAAAAAAAAAAAAAACTTAAAAAAAATAAGGCTAACAAGTAGCCGGCCCGAAGTTGTAATATTCTCCACCATTTGGAAGGAACATGAATATTTTTTAAAAAATTAAACTCGAAACTCAAAAAAGGAAAAGCTTGAGATTCCATTATACAAGAAATAAAAAGCAGCTAAGTTCGGACTATTCGGAAGGATCTTGAAAATTAAAAAAACGTCGAAAAATACCGCTGAAATAAAAACCTATATAATGGGGCTATACAAAGATGTGTTGCTGGATAAGTATTTTTTTGTCATAGACTCTAGTAATGATTCCGAACTTCAAATGCGAAATTCGAACCAATTCCGGTGAATAATGTCGCTAATATTATCAAAATACTGAATAAAGGGAGGTACAACTGTATGGGGCTACATTAAGACGTGTGCATACACAATTTTCGGTCATAGTTTGTAGTACATACTACGAACTCCAAATACTAAATTTGACGCAATTCCGGTGAATACTGTCGCGAATATCATGGAAATACCGAATATCTCAGGGTAGCGTTATATTGCTGCCATATTAAAATATAGATCTATACAGGGTGAGATGAAAAAACCTGCAACCAATTTCAGACTGCTGTCATTTCTAAACCACTCGTCCGACAGCTCTTAAAATTATTCCAGTGACAGCTCTTTATATTGTTTACAAGCGTACAAAGGCATTTTGGTGAGAGTGTTCCAGAAAAAAGTTATTCGTGATGGAATTGAAGCGTGATTGTGTGATTTCTAAATATTTGGCTGGAAAGCTACAAGTAGCTATCGTTAGAGCACACCATCATTTAAATGTTAATAAATCTTTTGTGTCTCGTACCATCATTGGATCGTTACAGAGATACTGGTTGCGTAACCCGACGCGTAGAAAACAGCAACATCAGCAGAAATGGTTTGAAAATAAAGAAGCGACTTGATCGAAAACCGCGTCACAGTGGCCGAAAAATGGCTTGTGAGCTGAACATATCGCAATATTCCATTCGGCAAAAATGAGCTCGGGATAAAGTCATTGAAATTCCAAAAAGTGCCAGAACATACACCGCTACAGAAAGAAAATAGACTCAAAACGGCTAAAGAGTTGCTTCGCTTGGCCGAAAGTGATGAACTGCCACATTTGGGTTTCTCCGATGAGAAAACATTCGTTGTCCAGCAGTTTGTAAACAAACAAAATGATCGTGTTTACTTGCCAAAGAGGTCAGCTAAAAATGTGCACCTTCGGTTGGCCATTGTGATGGTGTGGGCCGCTATAACAGCCGATAGTCGTTCTCAGCTCGTATTACTCGACCGTGGCATCAGAATAAATGCCGAATATTATCGCGAAAATATTCTGGAGAGTGTATTAAGGCTTTGGGCACGCAAACATTTTGGCCGCAGACCTTGGACATACCCACAGGACTCAGCACCATCGCAATCAAAAGCACGCGCCACCCAAGAATAGTTACAAAATGAGGTTCAGCGCTTCATTTCCAGTGCCAATGTCCACCAAAATTTCCGGATACCAATCCGTTGGACTATTGTGTGTGAAGTATTTTGGAAAGCAAGATTGGCACTAAAAAATACCAAAGTGTCGATCACCTCAAGCAAACGCTTCGCCGGGAATACCTCAGAGCAACATTCGGGCAGCGTGTGACGGTTTCATTGGCCGTATGAAGGCCATAATTCGTGTCAAAGGTGACCACTACGAACAAATCTAAAATTTGATGCTATTTCCAATATTTTTTGCTTTCATTCAATAAAATTACAAAAAACAAAAAAAAAAAAAATGTAAAAATTATGGCGTTTGCCTTTGTTGCAGTTTTTTATCTTACCCTGTATATGCTCTCTAGCCATATGGCTGAGGATATAAAAATATTCTAACAAATTTTTCGTCCTTTAAAATATATTCTTAAATAATCATCGTATAATGATACCGCAAAAGGGTTCTTAAAAATGGAAGTATATTGGTCTGGTGGGATATTTACATTATTTTTTTAAACGACGTATATTGTTGGTCTGTTGATCTTTAAATAATATTTTTAATCTGTCCAGGTATTTTAGTCTGCACTTTCCCCCGAAAATTCCGACTAAAGATCTGTGTGTGTCATCGGTTGGTCCTTTAAATATACTCTTAGAAGCATCAAAAAATATTTAAAAAATCCGCGTATTTTGGCCTGTTTGTACTTCAATTATCTTGGTAAAATATATGACATTAGCTCTGATAGTCTTTTAAACAATTTTATCCAAAAAGTGAAGATTACTGTTCTGTAAGTCCTATCAACACTTCAAAACACTTACGATTTTAGCACTGGTAGGTATTAATAAGTTTATTTAAAAAATCGCGATAATTCCCTATCAGAGCTAAATCATAGGTAGTTTTTTATTATCGGAGCTATAATAATAGATTGTTTTATATTTTGTATAAAATCAGAATAATCTGAATATTCCCGTTGTTATGGCTCCGATGGGATTAAAGAACAATATACACTCCTGATCGCCGCCAGAAAATTCCCTAAACTTTTTTACGCGCACATTTTCCCAAACGCTTCAATTCTCACTTACTACCGCACAATCACTCATTCAAAAAAGAAGAAAAAACATTTGCGATTGTTTTTTGGCCAAAGTTATATACCAAGTTTAAGTGAAGATGGCCCCCGCCGCTCAACTTTCTTGTTTTGTCCATTACACGGCAATATGTATGTACATTTATTTTGCACTTTGCTTTATTCGAGTAGCCGTTGGCCATTTATTACGAGTAGTTTCGTTTTGTAAAGTGCGTACTTTAGGTTTTTTTTTTTTTCAAAAACAATTTTTTCCAGTTGTTTGCATTTTTCTAGAATATTTTGCCCATGGCAACAGAACTGAAAGCAAAATAAAAAACTTTCATTTTCTGTTGAACTTAGAATATATGACGATATTTTTCATATTTCTTTGCCATTGTGTTTTATTGTGAAGAAAAGTGAAAAAAGTAAGAGTAAATTTATAAGTCCTGATTCAACAAAAATTGAGAGAAAATAAATTGAGAAGATATTAAATAATATTAGCGGTTTTTGGCGTGTGATGGGTTTTTGGAAATTCGTATTAACAGGGTACGAAAAGTACTAAAAATGGAATACCATTTATTGGACAAACGGAATGAGATGGGGTACTGAAATATGGAATGAGAGTCACTGATGGAGTATGCGATAGATGAACCAAAGGGTTTTGGCAAATTCGATCTTAAAGGTTACGAAATGTTCTAAAATGGTACTAAACTTCTAAAATGGTACAATTTTGTATTGCATGCACGAATTGAGCTAAAAACATGAAAATCAGTATGAGAATCCAGGTTGGAAAGTAAGTCTGATAAATGAAGGTGGTTTTTGAAATTTATACTAAGTGTGCGAACTGTACTAAATTTAGAACAGTTAGGTTTAAGGTGAACGATTGGATTCCTGTTGATGATAGGTTTGTGATAAAGAGGTTTTTTTTCTGAAATGTTTACTACAATTGCACCAAGAGTACTAAATAGTACTATATATTGGTACAATTTGCCATTGGGTGAACAGATAGTGTTCGAAATCTGAAATTTGGTATTAGGGTCGTTGTACATTTTATAGCCATGACATGTAGAGGTGATTTTGGAAATGTGTATTTTAATTGAACGAAAAGCAATAAATGATACAATATTTGGCATTGGGTGAAGGGGTAGAAAAAAATCTGAAATTTGATATTTAGATTACAAATGATTTCTCTATTTAAGACTTGTCGGTGGTGGAAAACTACTGAGTGGTACTTAATTTAGATTGGGTCAAAGGATAGGACTGGAATCCTCAAATTTGATATAGAAAAGTCTGTTGGCATCTGGAATTGAGATATGGAGATTATTTTAGAAATGTGTACCATAATTGTACGAAAAGTTTTAAATAGTACTTAATTTAGGATTGGGTGAGAAAATATAGCTAAAATTTCATATTGAGGTCACTTTGGTTGTCCAGGTTGAAGAGAAGAAGGTGGTTTCGGAAATGTGTAAAATATTGTACGAAAAGCGCTAAGTGGTACGATACTTGGTATTAGGTCGAGGAATAGAGATAAAATTCTGAAATTTGATGTTTCAATAACTATTAGTATCTCTATTGAGGTTAGGAAATGCATCCTATATTTTTACGAAAAGCACTAAATAGTACTAAATTTGGAATTGGGTGACGATAATGAGTGTAAATTTGGTACCGGGTGAAAAAAACCGAGCTGAAATTCGGAAATTTGGTGTCGAAGTCAGGGTGGACACGAAAAGTACTGAACGGTACTATACTTGGTATTGGGTGAAGGGGAAGAGGTAATATCCTCGAATTTAAAATTTAAATTACTGATGGTATCTGTTTTGGTTGTGGTCTGGACATGCGTCCTATATTTGTACGCAAAGTTCTAAAGGGTACTAAATCTGGTAATGGGAAAAATTACTGAGCTGAAATCCTCAAATTTCATATTAATGTCACTGTTGTTATCTAGATTGAGATATGGAGATGGTTTTGGAAAAGTTTACAAGAATTGTGGATTGGATAATGAGTGAAGGGATAGAACTGGAATACTGAAATTTGATGTCAATATCACTGTTGGTATATGGGGTGAAGAGAAGGACGTGATTTTCGAAATTAGTACAATGAACGTACGAAACGTGGTAAATGTCACAAAAATGTATATTCGGGTGTAAGGCTAGGTATGGACTTCTGAAATTTGGTATCGAGGTAACTGTTTGTA